TGCATCTCACTCTGCCACAAGGTAGCTGAGACCTTGAGGTTCATCAGTGTCCCCTCCTCATTGCCAGGCCCTAGCCAGTCACAGTGACCATAGTCACTCCCAAGAGCCAGAAGTGAGCAGTGAGATGTGTAGGGACTGGTGATGGGCACATGCACGCAACAAGCTGGAGCTCCAGAGACTTGCTCCGCCTCTACTGGTGACTTGCAGAGAAGGTGGTAGGTGGGCCTGGGAGATGTGTCAGCCCTGACACATCTTCTTTCCCACTGTCTTCCACTGAGGTGCCTGGCGCTCATCTTCCATAGCCAGGGTCCTTCCGGAAGGCAGTTCTGATACAACCTCGATTTATGGAGAGTTTCATGGGCAATGGGAGATTAAAGTACCGGGCTTAATGATTCCAAAAGGGTTCCAGCTGATTTGCTCTTCATCTTGTCATGGTGACGAGTTTCAAAGCCCATGGGTGCCCTCTCAAAAGGAAAGACGCTCTGCCCTGCAAAGCTTTGTATGATTGCTAATTCTGAACAATTTGTTCTTCACATTTCAGAAAGCTTACAGCTCCCTCCACGAAGAATCTCTCTGTGTTAGCTGGCTCACCAAGAGTGTTCAGTACACTGGGTGGGCAGAATAATTCAGAGCCCTCTCCTGCCCATTCAGAGGGGTGAGAGCCAAGGTTCATTCCAACCGTCTGGGGCATAGAGCTCCGTGTGTCATGGAGCCTGGTGCTTCACCAAGAGCGGCTGTCTGCTGGTGTGTCTCAGGGTGCTTCTTGTTGTGAATCCGACAAGGGAAGTCCATTTGTGCTTTCGGACAATTCTGAAAGACAAAGTCCTAACAATTTCCCCCTGTCCCTGAGATCTGGTAAGCCTGGATCATTATTTGTAACTTAATGAGTTTCTTCCAAAAGCTAGATACAGTCCTGAAAACTTGAAGTTTCCTTCCTCGGACCATAAAGTTGCACAGGACTCCTCTGTCCTCTCCATTCTGCTGTATTCAAGAATTTCATCCCAATTAGATAGTAATATTTTAATAAGATTTATTATTTTATGCACATGAGTGTTTTGTTTGCATCTATGTCTCTACTACCTGTGTGGCCAATACCCATGGAAGCCAGAAGAGGGCACTGGATCCCCTGGAACCTGATTTATGTATGGTTGTGAGCCACCTTGTTGGTGCTGGGAACCAAATCCAAGCCCTCTGAAAGACCAGTGAGTGCTGGTACCTGATGACCCTGGAGCCCACTGAGATTTCCTGGTGATTTTACCCAGCCGGGCTGCTTAAGAGGATGACAGGGCCACTGGCCTGGGTACCAGGTGTTTGGAAGGGTCTACACTTGGCCGTATCTAGCAGGGGGTGGTCTTTTTGCCTCGCCCCTTGGCATTGTTGTAAAAAGCCCTTTAAATAAAGTTCTGGGCTGGTGGGTTTTGACCCAGGCCCTCCCAAGGCTATCCTGTGTTTCTGTCTTTCTTCTCATCATCGAGCTCTCTCTCTCTCTCTCTCTCTCTCTCTCTCTCTCTCTCTCTCTCTCTTGTATTTTCGAGACAGGGTTTCTCTGTGTAGCTTTGCGCCTTTCCTGGGTCTCACTCTGTAGACCAGGCTGGCCTCGAACTCACAGAGATCTGCCTGGCTCTGCCTCCCAAGTGCTGGGATTAAAGGTGTGCGCCACCACCACCCGGCTAGGTATCTCTTTCTATCTAAATATTTCCCACTTTTCCCTGCTCAAAAGTACCCTGATTGTAAAAGTGGGGTCTAGTCCCCCACATCCAGCTGCAGTAGTTATGTTTATTGTTTTGTTTGTTGCACAATGAATAAATAATTATAGTCCACCCTGGGAGACTTGCCCTTTACCATTCCTAGATTTATCCATGGGTTGATTGATTGAGACATGGTCTTTCTGTGTACTGCTGGAACTCTGTGTCCTGGAACTCTGTGTAGACCAGGCTGGCCTCACAGAGATTTGCCTGCCTTTGCCTCCTGAGTGCTGGGATTAAATCATGTACCACTATACCCAGACAGGATTTTTATTTTTAAATAAAATCTAAGATAATGTATGGACTACATGGTGTCTCGATTTAATTTGTGTTTTATCCTTTCCCATTTCATGCGTTAATGTCTTCTGTATTTAAAGCATTTTTAATGGGTGATCTAAAAATTAAGTAGACTAGTATAAACACACGAACTTAAATAAAATACAATTTAAGATACACTTAAGTTTGGCATGTCTACAGAATCAGATGATAAGCAGACCAAGAGCAGTGGTGACGGATTGAACGTGAGTTTGAGAAGCCCATTGATTCCACGACGCTTGTCAAGCAGCTGCTTCAGAATCCCTCCAGCCAGTGTTGGCTTAGTGGTCAAGAGTCATGCAAACCACTCAGAAGGGTGAGCTGGGGGGGGGGGTGGTGTCAGGAGTGGGAGGGTGGGGACTTCCGTTCCCTGGCTTAGTGCTTGTGTTCCTGAGTGTGCCAGGCAGAGGCAGCCGCCAGGAGCTGGCCCCCTGTGGAGGTGAAGGCCTGCTTCTGCCTTGTTTGCTGCAAAAGCGGACAGCAGCAGCAAGGCTTTGGAAGGCTGTGTAAGGTTAAAGACCTCACCTGGAAGAGGGGAGGAAGGAAGTCAAGGGCAGGGTGTGAGTGTAAGCAAGGAAGGGCAAAAGCACAGCCTTCCAGAAGCAGGTGGGGTAGCGGGGGAGTGCAGGGGCGTGTGTGTGTGTGTGTGTGTGTGTGTGTGTGTGTGTGTGTGTGTGAGAGAGAGAGAGAGAGAGAGAGAG